AGCCGTTCAGAGTGTAATGCTGTGAAACAGGATGTGCGTTAGGGCTGGGTAATTGTCTCTGAAGTCATTAATGTGAAACAATACTTAAGAAAAACACTGAGAAATGTATGAAAAATAACTTGTATATCAATTTTAACTGGTTTTCCAGTAAAATAAACAATGTTTAGCTGTTGTGCATTATGTAAAGATGTGTTTAGTTTATTTTTTTTCTTTGTTTGTTTGTTATTTTTTTAATTGGTTAGCATGCTCCACTAACTGTTGTGGGCAACTATACATGATAAATAACAGCTAAAGTGGGGGAAAAAACACTTGAAGTGAGACTAGTGAATAATAAACAATATTAAAGTGGTATAAATGCTACTGAAATTTTTGATTGCACTATTAGTAATCACTTCTGTAGTAATTAAAAAAAATGCCACAATGAAAAATGATTACTACTTAAGCTATAAAACCTATTAAATAAGGTAAGTGATATTAAATAGATTTCTAAATAAGCAAGGCTAAATTTAGTCTCATACCTGCAAAAATATATCTCAATACTTTTTGACAGGGATATGGTTTTGTGTCACACTGCTATTACAAAAAAGAGTACACGTTTGCTTTAAATGAAAAATGCTGTTTGTTAAGTCACTGTTCATCCCATCACATCAGCAAAGTGTCCTGAAGTGTACACTCATATGCTTCTCCACCTTTTATCAAATGGATGTATTATATCAAAGATTAAATCATAGATTAGAGTTTGAATTAATCCATACTTCTAGGCCAGAAAATGAAATCATGCAAAAACAGTTACAAATATTATTTACTATATATGTATGTTTTTTTTTTTAAACATATTCAAATAGCCAAAAACATAAGGACTAATAGATGATGAATGAATTGGCACCAAACCAGTTAATCAGTAGGTAGCTATCATTGGTCGATATCAACTATTTTCTGATTCCCTGGTATCAGTATTCATAACAGCCAATAAGTGAAAACTAAAAAAAAGTAAATAAGAGACAAGAAAATGATCTTCAACCATGTTGTACGTGTTGACATTTCATATTGTCCATCAGGGGACACTCTACAACTTCCCGGTTAGCAACACAGGTTTGAAATTCCACAAAACAACATACAGCTCATAGTGTAATGGGCAAATAAATGACTACACATAACAAATGTTAGGAAAATTATGTTTTGTTAGGTGGTTACTCTGCAGCATAATGAAACTTTAATTTCAGTGTTATTATCATGATTAATTAAAATGATGCATGGCTTTTACTAAGGTGCTGTAGGTGCATAAACACTACAAATGGTTCATTTTAGCCAGTTGGTAGGTGGTTGCTAGACAACGTGATGAGGTCATAGTATCTGATACAGCTAAAAGCCTTCAGGGGCTGAATAACTACCAGTATGTCAGTTTTGGTTGCTCAACTCTTGATTGTATAAAGGTTTGTGGGCAAACAAACAACACAGATTTTTGTACATTAGTGTGACGTAAAACTGCAGGTTTTTGTTGTTGTTTTTTTCCTTTCTACATTTCAGTTACTCGTGAAATGTAAATTTCAGTAATCTGTAGTCTAAACATCTTTCTTTTTCTGGTTATTTTGCAGACTTCCCAAGGTTTCAAACATTTGAATCTTTAAATATTTGTATTTGAGTTCAGTCATTTATTTCTGGTTTAAATAACTAAGTATACAATTACCTCCTCTAAGAAGTTTTGCCTTCGTGGTAATAGTTATATTGCTGAGTAAATTCCCAATACTGTTGTTTGTTTTGGTTTTATTGATTTTGGCTTTATTTTATATTATTTATTAAGAACTGTTTTCATTATTAATACCTTGTAAAAAGTGAATTAACCTCCTAGGACCTGGTGTCCACATATGTGGACATCACATTTTGGGTTATTTAGTCCAAAATACTCAATTTTGCTCTACAAGGGCCTGATATCCACTTACGAGGACATTATACTGCTACTGTTCTATCAAAGTTTTAAAAGAATATCCTCATATGTGGCTCTTATTTTTCTTAAAAACAAAAAAAGGTAAACAAAACAAAACTGGTAATTCTTTGTTTTTACATTCATCAGGCCCCAATATGCCCAAATATCAAAGAGAAATTAAAAATGCATGCCGTGGAAGAGTTTGGGTCTTAGGAGGTTAATTGTCTTTAAAGTAATATGCCCCTGTCATATTTAATTTGTAAATACTAAGCTAACATGCGTCAGCAGATTTTAGAACCACCTTTAACAGCATTAACTTAAAGTAAACACATTGTCTTCAACTTGATCACCTCTCACATCCTTCAGTCTGCGAGTATTTGTTCATGCTTGCTTAAGATCCCACCATGACATTTCAATCAGGCTAAGGTCTGGACTTTGACTGGGCCACCGCAGCGCCTTCATTCTTTGCGTTTTCAGCCAATTCTGTTCAAGATTTGCTGCTGTGCTTAGGATCATGTCCCGTTGCATGACCCAGTTTCAGCCGTGCTTTAGCTGTCAAACAGTCGGCTTCATATTTGACTCTAGAATATTTTGTTATACAGAGGAGTTGATAGTCAACTCAATACCTGCAGTGTCCAGGTCCTGCGCCTGAAAAACAAGCATTCAGGTCCACTTTGGTTTTGCTTTCCAAAAGACGTTGTTCCAGAAGTCTTGTGATTTGTTCAGATGCAAATTTGCAAACCTAAGCTTTGCGGCCATGTTTTGTTTATGTTTGTTTTTTTTAAAGAAGAGGCTTACTCCTGGCAGCACTTTCAAACAAGCCATTTAACATTTTAACGGAGACCTGTGGAGTTTGAGGTTTAATTCATGGGTTTTTGCAGGTTTTTTTTAAACATTGCATAGTCCCCGTTTGGAATGAATTTGCTGAAACATGCACTCCTCTTAAGATTGGCAGTTATCTTGATTGTTTTCTACTTGTTATTGAAAATTGATGGACTTAAGAATGTTTGGAAATGGCCTTATAACCCTTCCCACACTGATGGCATAGCACTTTATTGCTACTTATGGTGAACTTAGGCTGTGAGCTGCTGCTTTGGCATTTTGAACAATTTGTTGGTAAATAAATAGCGACTTGGTGTAATACGTCATGCAATTTTTGGTCATCTGAGGTTCTATTTATCTCATTTTAGGACCTATTAAGGACCAGATGATACGTAAAAGCTTACAGTTGAACTTACTTTTTCCCCTGATTGTATATGAAAGTGTTCAAAAGTTGCTTTAATAATTAGGGAGATGTCTGTCTGGTGTGCTTAAATATACAGATAGGTGACAAAATTAAAGCAAACTCTAACATAAAATGTGTTAGCACACAATCACATGCTCAGAGAAATGCTTCATTGTGTTTTGGGATGGTTTCTAATGGAACACCAAGATTTTCTTCTATCTGCCGTTTTGATGATGTTGGTCGGGATCGCTTAGTGACACCTCCCACTGATGTCCCCAGATCTCCCACTGGGTTGAGATCTGGGGACAGTGAATATCACAGTATTTACATAATTTGCATTCTCATCAATCAATGCAGTATTCTGCTATAGACTACGGGGTAACTGTCATCCAGTTAGAGATCATTCCCAACCATTCCAAGGACAGAAATATTTCATCATAGGATACAGATGAGCACTTTGAGTAACAGAGTGTTGATTTGCTGCGACCTTTGGATTCTAACCATTCCAGCAAACATAACAGAGCCACCGAGTGCCCTCTCTACAGGTGTCAAGGCATCATATCTTTTAAATTTGTAAGCCATCTGTATGAATGTGGCTTTACAAAGAACATTTTCCCAATTTACACCAGTACAACCTAAAAATTGCTACTTACAGGTATAGAGCTTGTTTGGCAGGAAAGTAATTTAAAATGCATTTTATTCTGTAGGTGTTCCTGGTGTTATTGTGAGATGTTTATCTGATTCTAATTTTATAAATGCTCTTTATTCTGTGACCATTACAAAGATCTTTTGTGTCACTTTTTGTTATCTCCATCCATCCTTCTCTTGGGTTAATGTTTGTCATGTTAAGACATGTGTGGAACTACCAATGAACTCTTTGTTTTCCTGTAACCTGTTTTGTACCACACCTGACGTTTTCTTTTAACCTGTTCTCCTACTTACTCATGCAAAATGTGGCCTCAGCGCCTTTTTTTGTTTTTAAGAGTATAGCGTCTGAAACCGGTTCATGGATACAGCAAGATAACACTCAAACTGTCATTTTAACCTTTTGTTCTGGAACTGGTAATGGTTTATGTTTTCTTGACATGGCCCATCTCGTGTGATACGTGTGGTGCTCTAATAGATATGGACTCTTGAGCCCGTTCTTACCCTGGAAAATCAAAATCAGCTTTATTGGCCACTCGTACACATACTAGAAATTAAGCTTAATGTACTTAACAGAATAGACAGACAATACAGACAGAAGCACCATGACGCAGGCAATAACAATGTGATAATATTAGAAACTTGGTCACAAATTGAAAAACAAATTCAGATACTGTGATCTAAATCATTTCCTACAGAGGAGGTAAATTTCTGGAGGAGTGGTGGGGTAGATGGCATCTGCTTGTGTAAACTGAAAAGCCTTTTTTTCCCCCCCCCTTGCAGGTTGTTTTGCAGGTATGTGTTCCAGTCGGGGTATATGCGGTGACAGCGGTCGTCCCAACAGATCCCCTAGCTCAAGGAGCTCTGGTTCAGGCGCCCACTATGCTCTGTGTGCCCTTGGAGTGGGCGTCATTGCCCTTGGCATTGTCATGATTGTTTGGACTGTGATACCTGGAGGGGATTCAGGTGCCTCTCCAAAACCATCAGGCAACTCCACAGGACCTAATAACAACGGTGGTGGTAATAATTCAGCCACAAAGACCCCAACAGTGGCCATGGTGCTTGTTGGAGTTGGGGCAATGATGCTGATCTTGGCCATTGGCCTTGGTTTAAAGAGCAAGAAGAGAGCTCGGGATAGAAGGAGTGAGCCTGTGACCACAGGAGTCCCCTTTATGACTCCGATACCAGAGGAGCCTCAGCCGTAAGTGATAACGTTTGGTTCTATTTTTATTCCTAGATCATTTATAAATGTTAGGATTTATAAATGATTTGATAATTCCTTGAGTTAGCAATCAGGTGTGAAAAGGTGTTGTACCGGTGTTGTCTGTCTATATGTGTTTGTTCTGCAATAGCCTAGGGTGTACCCTGTCTTTCTGTTTGGAAAGGATCCACTGCAAGTAAACTGCAAATTATGTAACGTCAGGGACTAAGTAAACGTTTAGCATTTTATTTACCTCTATAATCCATCTAAAAAAAAATAAAAAATTAAAAATCCATTTTTATTTTATTCAACAAGAGAAATGTGAAAAAATATATCTTTTTTATTAACCCTGGAGAACCCAAGAACCATTGTCTTCTTTGGAAAATTATGAACTACGCATTAAATGACTTATATAAGTTCACTGAACACCAAAATATCCACTTTTTCAATATTAACCCTTTATTCCCTGATTTAGGGTTTGGGTCAAATTTGACCCATTGGGCTTTAGGCATATCATTTAAAAAAATCACAATAACAAACACTGTCAATGTAAACTATTTTAAAGTTAGGTAAATAAATCAACCACACAGCTACATTTAACAAGGTTTTTTTTTTCTTTATTTGTTGCATGTCAGAACTGGATTCAGTTTGAAACAAAAGAACACGAGGCACAGTTTTCACAGTCACTGCATATCAGTTTTGAGGTCCTTGCACACAGTTCAATGATGGCAATGTTCCTTCTTGACAGGCCAATGGGCCTGTTTCCACAGTCGATCCTTTTTTACTTCTTCACTGGCCATTTCATTGTCTACAAAGTGAATGACAGAGAGTAGCTGGCTGAATCAGTTACGACTCATTATGTCTGCCACAGGCCCATAACGAACTTCGTTTTCCCACTACTGACGTACTCCAGACATTTGAACTAATCCCATCCTGAGATACAGTCCAAGAACTTGTTCTATCTCTTTGACTGAAGTGTAAACACATTTTCCATGCTTTTGAATACTGTATTGATTGGTGTGCTCAACAATATTTTCCAACATATCAAGGGAAACAAAGCGCCGAAAGTAAACCA